TGGTGGAAGTGTTTCTAAATTATCTAAATTCCTAAGCGATACAAACTTTACAAAAATTAATTAAAAAATTTATTTTAGGTCTAAAATCAATTTTTTCGGCCCAAAAATGACCAAATTTTCGACTTTTTCAAAAGTTTTTCTCACTTTTAAAAAAGTTTTTCCGATTCAGATAGGCTTAAATTTGCTAAAAACAATGTGCGAACACTTTATGTTTGATTGCTATCCCCACCAGGGCCGACAGGAAAAAAGTTGGCTCCGCTCTTTCAGTCATCAAAAATATTAATGGAACTTAGAAAGCCCTCCCCCCGCTAACAGCCCAGTACTCCGATTTTACAGCTTTTCGGCCTAACCCTCGCAATTTACAGAAGAAGCAACAATTCGCCTCCTGCCAGGCGGCCCTCCATCTCTACCACTTGCAAACGCAGACCGACATTTCCGAGAAGGACTTGGAAGAGTGGGACAAATTTGCCGGAATTCGAAAAGCCTAAATATAGCTAAGAATAGCCGAAAGAGACGGAGAGAGCGAGAGGCGAGAGATAGAGAGAGAGAGAGAGAGAGAGAGAGAGAGAGAGAGAGAGAGAAAAGAGGATTTTTGATTGGTTCTTTCGCACCATCGGGGAAAGAGTTTATCGGCCGTGTTTCTAAATTGTTTTAACTATTTAGATAAACGTCAAAGCTCTACAATTGCTCTTAAAAAATCACAAAAACTCGATTTCTCGACCAGAAACTTCGGCCAAAATGTCTGCTTTAGAATTTTTTTGAAAGTTTGAGTTGAAAACTAAAAACACTGATAAAATACTTCCGATCAAGTTACTACACATTTCTAGACTTTACAAAAAATTCGAAGATCCATAAATTGGCCCACGAAGTTGGGTCCCCCTAACAAACTAGAGCCAACAGTGCTTTCAGGGTGCGAGGCCAGGTGGTGAGGGCATGGTATCGGTTTCGTTAAAAACAAGGCGCTCCATTAATCCATGTATACATACTGTACTTTTGTCTCATTCGACTGTTAATACGAAACGAATTCCAAACCAAACTGTTGTCCTCGGTTGTGATTGATTGTGTGCCCCCGGAATAAATTATTTTTATGGAACTTTTCATCGCAAATTACTGTGTATTTTTCGAAGTTATGAATTTGAAGGCTTGAACTAAAACCATTCAGTGAATGCGAACTTGCATAACAAAGGTGAAAAGAGTTGCAGAAAATGTCGAAACACATTTTTTGTAAACTTTTTTTTATGCTGGAGCCTCTAACAGAAGGCAAATTAAAATGTTTCCATCCTAAGGAAAACTGATAAATTTCTTGCGGCAGTACGATACCCCTTGCTTGCCGTCCGGAAACGAGTTTCGGCGCTGGAAACGTTCTAAGTAGTAGCGTCTAACCAACGCAGATTTTCCCATTTAATGGAACATTCCATCTCGTGTTCAACGTCTGGTCTTGAGATCCCAAACACTTTAGCACGCGGTTACGGTAGGTGCTCGACATCCGGCAACACCGAACCCGCACCACTCGCCCTGGGGCAAGCGCCATAGACCACTCGGCCATGGGATAGACGAGAGAGAGTGGAGGGGGTGACCGGATATGAAGGGTCGGTGTGCTCTTCCGCCCAAGGGTCACATTCGCGCCACTGGTTAAAGGGCACGTTCAGGGAGGTTTTTTTGGAAAAAAGCAAAGATTTTTGCCGCGGCCGGGGGTCGAACCCGGGCCCTCCGCTCGGGAGGCGCGGATGCATACCAGTCAGCCACAGCTACAACCTGGCGGGGGGGGGGCAAGGGGCTCGCCACGCCGCAAAGGAGGGGAATGGCCTGTCACAGCACGGGCAGGCAGTGCGCGCGGTCCCTACGTCCATAGGGTGTAGACGTTGGGACGAGTACACGGCCCCTCCCTGAACGTGCGCTTTAATGGTTCAGAACAAGAGCGGAATGTACCTTTAAAGCAGAATCAGAGCCATAAAAATAAAGGAAAACATTTCGCCCTTTCCTCAGCTCAAAAGGGCCTATTATTTTTCGGCATTTAAGTGTAATGCCGATTTTTATTTAAGCTTGAAAACATGTGTTTCGTGAACTTTTTAAAGTGTCGAACAACAATCGTCAAAATTTCGGAAAACAATTTCAGCTAACAAACTCAATTGTTTCAAGTTGCATGGCATACCCATAAAATCATGCTTCTACAATTCTAGCTTGAACGCATCTTTCAAACGATTTTCGATTCGAATTCGAAACGATGGTAAAACTAGCTTCGCTGTCATCTTTCAAACGATTTTCGAGGGTCAGAACCGCTATGAGAAAGATTTTCTCGTTAAAAAAGCTTTTTCCAGGTACCAGGTGTAGGGAAGATCTGCGCAGAGCTGGATACTATTCTTTTGTATCGCAACATGAGTGCCTACATTTTTGAAACGCATGTTTCGTTCAGCTTTCGGCGCGGTTGGAATTTTGCAGTCCAAAACAAATAGTCAGCATTAATCCATTTTTAGAATAACATACATTAGGGAACCATCTTTTTCTTCTTTCTGAATTAACTTTTCTAATGTGCTTAAAATGATAATGATCATAGAGCCTAATCAATGAAGATAAAAAAAAGTTCTTACTAAAAATGTCGAATTTTTAGTGTTTCAACTAAAGCGCATTAGGAATTTTGTTTGCGCAAGGCGATTTACTTCCTTCGGGAAAAAATGAGTTTCAAGTTGGGAAGGCATAGCGCGACTTGCCAGGTCTGTACAGGGTGTCCCAAAAAAATCGACCCCCCTCTAGCGGGCCGCAGTCATGTCCGATTTTGACGATTTAGGTATCTATCGAAAGCACTCGAAAAGGCGAGAAAACAAGCACTTTTCGTTTTTCAATATGGGAATTTTAATTCATTAAATTTAGGGCCAAAATCGATGAAAACTGCAGATTTTATGCAAAATCGGCATGTGAATTGCTTGCTAAAGCAAACAGGACGATGCTGGTTTTACGCTTTTTACAGAAATCATTGAATATCGAGCGAAGGCTAAAATTTTTTGGAAAACCAAAGGCGCTTGTTTTCTCACCGTTTGAAGGGCTTTCGAATGGTGTGAAAACCATTCCGATCCGAGCTTTCTGCGGCCCGCTAGAGGGGGGTCGATTTTTTTTGGGACACCCTGTAATAACCCTTCCTCATTTGATGCATATTTGGCTTGGGATAAAATTGCGCGAGTTGAGCTCGTGAGAGAGCGAAAGAGAGAGAGAGAGCGAGAGAGAGAGAGAGAGAGAGAGAGAGAGAGAGAGGAGAGAGAGAGAGAGGTAGCGAGAGGGACAGAGAGAGAGCTAGAGAAAGCGAATCACCGAAGAAAGCTGATCCGAACAGGTATTTCCTGTGGTTTTTCGGGGTCGAGTTAGTGAGAGGATGCGGCTTTTCCTTCCCCAAAAAAATACCGGCTCTGGTGTTGATCAAACAGGAACTGTTGCTTTAAAAGGGGTCACAGGCCTGGGAACTGGTAATCATCACCATTAGGTGGTCGCTTAGCGCCCCATTTTCCGGTCACTAAACTGATTCTCAACGCACGTTTGCTTGTAGGTACTCGATTTCAAAACACACTTTTCATTGTATCGCGCGATTTGCTAATCAAAATTTTCATCAATCGAAATTCAAAATCAAGTAATCAAAATGCACGTGGTTTATAAAACCAAAAAAGCCACGTGAAGTCGCAAATACACTCACATTAAGCTTGCTGACATTATTGGCCTTTTGTCGGAGCTACACACAACATCCCTCGCAACATTTTCTTCCAAAATTTTTTGAATTTATGCATTTGGATTTGAACGAGTTTTTACGATCGTTTTTACTTGATTTTTCTCATTCTCTTGGACTCGGATTGTGGAACCAGAATGTTGTAGTGGTGAATTATCTCGAAAGGGCTCCAAAAACATGCTTCGAAACCGATATGTACCCTGGCGCTATTGAAATGACAAGCTGCTGATGGGTTTATCCCCTTCGCAGAATTCTTATACAGACAGTGGACAACCTAATAGAATCTTTGAGGTAATCAAGATAACTTAATCGACACGAAACATTTTTTCAATTTGTCAAAAAAGACGACTATAAAATGTTTATGATGTCAAAAGAACACTCTATTATGGGAATGTTCTCCGAGTTTCCGAGTATTTTTTCGTAACATTTCTTTCCGAAAAAAATATTTATGCATACCAATATCAGGCTTGCTAGGTGCAAATCGTCAGGATAAATTTTGCCGATTTTTCATACAAGATTTTACTGAAAATTTTGCAGTAATGAGATCGTGTGAAAGTAATATATGAAACCAATGTAGCCACCTGTAAACACAAATATAGTCACGCGAGTCCTGGGATTATTCACTTGTTGTCGCGATTACACTGGATGTCCATCGCAACAATTTCTTGCAAAAATTTTTCAATCTAAATGGATTGTAAGGACTTCAGCTATCTTTTTGTCCTGATTCTTCTCATTCTCTTGGATTCGGTTTTGAATCGGAATGTTGTCGTGGCCAATTTTCCCGGAGGCCAATTTGGTTCATTGGAAACATTTTTCCGACATACCCAAGTCATTGTTAACTTGGAAATGGAGCACCAATTTTTGGAAGGTTCCCAGATTGTCCCCGGTCTTTTTTCGTAACATTTTCTTACAAAAATTTTTTTTACAATTTGCTAAAACCAAGCTCAAGTTTGCTAGATGCAAGCAAGCACGATCAATTTTGAAACGATTTTTCATACAAGGTTTTGCTCGAAATTTTGCAGTAATGACCTTGTGTGAAAGTGGGATAGGCAACCACTAAAACCACCTGAAAACATAAATATAAGGACTCCGAGCTTCGTACATTAATGGCCTGATGTCGGAATTATATCGGATTTCCAGCGCAAGATTTTATTGCAAAAAGTTTGCTATTCCATAAGTATGGATTTGGAATGATTTTACCTAACCTATTTGACTGAGTTTTCTCGTTTTCTGGCATCGGGTTAGCAGTACGTAGCCGACTTGACCACGAAGGATTTTCAGAAAACGTAAAATGCGGTTAGCTGCGAAATCGATTTTGCCCTTCCTGCTGCTCCCTTCGACGATGGCCATATTTTTCGGAGGTGGAGGTGGAGGAGGGGGAAGGGGTGGATGTTGTTGCCGATGCGGAACACCACAGCCACCATCTTGTGGATGTCAGGTATGGTCAGATTACAGGGAACGATTTCTAATTCACGGGTTATTAACCAGAACAGCGTTTTTATTTGATGTTTCAGGCCATGAAGTGAACTGGCAGTTGATAGGAACCAGAATACCTAGTGGCCTAGCTTCGAGTAAAAGCGCGAGTGAGAGAGACACCCAAGGAGAGAGAGAGCGCGAGAGAGAGATAGTGAGAGAGTAAGAGAGACGGAGCGGAGGGCCTAAGAGCGAGAGAGCCAGAGAAGGGCAGAGGGCGTGAGTGAGAGAGACGGATAGATAGACAGTGATCGATTGAGCGAGAAAGAGAGAGAGGGAGTGAGAGAGAGAAAGAGAGATATAGAGCGAGAGTGATAGAGCTTGATTTCGAAATTGGTGGTGGGAAAAACCTGAACAAAAATATATGTTTTTATCCCATGGCAACAGTCGCGCGTTTGAAATGTACGTAATCTGCCACTGAGCGCTAAATTATAAAATTTCAATCCCTGATCTTAGTTAATTTTAATTAAAATTTTAAGTATGTTAATTAATCCAATCCAGCCTGCCTGCCCAGCCCCTCCACCATGTCCAGTATGCCGGCCGAAGCCGTGTCCCGTTTGCGCGCCGGCCCCGAGCTCTGGTGAGTTTTTCTAAATAAATTTGAACTCTAAAGGGAACGTGAAGGCGTCGGATGGCAATTTTCAATTTATGGTATGATGACATTTATTGAATGTCCAGGAAGCAAAATTCTTTTTTCGAGACATTTTCAAAAATTTAATGTTTAGGCCTTCACATATATCCGAAATCTTATTCTGCTTCAATTCCGCTATGGTTTTTTCGCGAGAATTATACGCTTTGTTAGACTAGTTTTGATTAAATCAAGGCATTAATAGAAAAATCAATGGAAATTCAAATAATTTAATTATCGTTTAAAAACACCGGCTTTCGGCTAGCTTTGGTTTGCTGAATTAATTTACGCTTAACAAAATTTAGGGTTCTATTACGTCAAGAAACGGAAGTAACTTAGAAGCGACTTTCCAGGCCAGCTGGCCAAGAGTATTTTGCAACCATTATTATCGACCAATTTTCAGGGTGCTGCGGCGGTGGCGGTGGAGGAGGTAATTCGGTGCTTTCGCCTTATCGGGGGTTGTATACGTCCAGAAACGCCTAGTGACATAATATTAAATTTTTAATGGTTTTTTTCAGATAATTGTACTTTATTGAAAGTGAAAAACTATATCAAAAACTTAGACAATTTTTGGTCTTGTTTTGGAATTCTGGTCGATGGCCCCTCCTATAGTTTTGGACCTTTTCCCTATTTGGGTTTGGAAAATTGGATCCTGTAGGATTTAAGAACACAAGCGAAAAAAAAATTATTTTGTTCAGGTTGCGGCGCGTGTAGGGGCGGAGGTAAAACATTCAATTTCAACCTGGAAATCCTTCGAATTAATTGTAGGAGGTTGCAGCGGCGGGTGTGGAAATGGTGGTGGAGGTAGCGAATTTTAGCTTAATTTATTAAAGCTGTTAAGGTATTGTGCAAAATACCAAAAAACCGACTATTTCGCTGCTATAAAAAATAGCCTTAAATATGTTTTTTTCGGGCTATAAAAAAGCTTTAAGCATGTACAGTGCGTATCAAAAAGATAGAGCTACTTGGTTTTATATGGTTAGATGTTATTTATATGGTTTATGGTTATATTGGTCCTCATGTTCGGATCAGGTCTCAGAACCAATAGTATTTTTGAAACATGCTTTACAGCTTTTTTAAGGTTGCGGTGGAGGAGGTGGCGGATGTGGCGGAGGAGGAGGTACGGTGATCAGTTATTTTTCACGGCTGCAAATTTTGTAAAATGTTTAGAGTTGCAAAATCGTTTATTAATGAGCCTGAAAATTTGTAAGACTTTTCTAGGCGCCTACGCTATCGCCGGCCCTGCAAACTACGCCCAGGCTCCGCAAATTGGCTATGCACAAGTGGTCGGTGTTTTGCAGTAGTTTTTGAATATGATGCATTTATTACGGATATTTTCAATACTATGATTTTTGCTTTCTTTTTACCTCATCAATCTATAGAAACGAGATCACGTATGGCTGCGCCTTTTAAGTGGCTAAAATATGTTTCGCGCCAAAATATGGGCCCGGTCGTTTATACCGATTCTTAATATCAGTTTGGCTAACTGTAGAAAACGGTCTTTAGATATTCAGTGCGTTTCTTTTGAGTCGATGGTCAGACTGTTTATTCGGGCTTGCGCTCACACATATAGCCACGGAGGAGGGGGAAAAGATGCAGAGTGCGGAGAGAGCCAGAGGGGAAGCCATTAGTGGCCGAGGTGGAGGAAAATGGAGGGGAAAAGGTTACTATCCGGGGGAAAAGGAGATGATGGGGCGAAGTATCTCTACGAAAATATTAATATAAAATTCTATTTTCGACACTAACTCTTCGATTTTCGAAATTAATAAATGAAGCAACAAAGTAATAAAAGTAGATCCCCACTTTTTGATTCCCCTAATATTTTTGAAAAGCCAAGAAACTTCAAAATTTTTAGAATAACCTTCGCTTGTGAATCAGAAAACCCCGATTATGGAAACTTTCGTTTTTCCGGATATGTGTTTCATCAAAATCTGGCTTTCAGGCTGAAATCGTTAAAATCCACTTATTCAAATGTCTTGTTTTTAGGGCCCAAGCTACGCTCAATCGGGTCCTGTCGGCTACGCGGGGCCACCAATGACGGGTCCGATTCCACAGGCAATTCCGCAAATGAACTATCAACCACCGCCACAGTATGCTGCGGTATGGGTCTGAGTTTCTAAAGGGGTTTTCGTGCGTCCCTCGGATTTGCCCGGCTTTGGCCGGGACAAGCTGGCGAAGGGGGTTCGCGGAAAAGTTAAGCGAGCAGCGAGTGAGACGGCATGAGAGAGGGAGGGAGAGGGAGAGATGGAGAGAGTGAGAGACAGAATGAGTGAGAGAGATAGAGAGAGAGAGACAGGCAGACAGAGAATCGGTCATTAGAAACGGATTTTTTTTGCTAGCAACAATCTTTGGGGACTGATCTGTGCGTAAAATCTTTTGAAAAGGCTATTTCAACTGCTTCAGAATATCCCAGCTGGCAGCTATCAGGGACCGATGGCCAACCCGCTTCCAATCGCAGCCCCGCAACAAATAGAACCCGCCTACAATACACTACCAACGGCCGGAAGTGAGTCGGAAGAAAAATGTGTTTCCAAAAAATGCTGCGGCGATGTGGCTGTAGTTGGGCCAGTAGAGTAGGACCCAATCCGTTGAGCAGTCATGAACATTATAACTTACCTTCAACTTCAAAAGTCTTCAACTTTAACCACTTAATCCTGGTGCTATTTTAAGTAGCAAAAAGCAGTTTTGATTCAAAATTAGCAATTCAGGTTTTTAATTTCTCAGTGCAAAAATTTGATAATTTTATTTAGACAAAAAAATTAGATTGCAATTAGAAAAATCATATCAAACGTTTTAGAGCTTTACTTGGTGTAATTACCCTTAAATTTAAACTATTATCACTATCATATCTGAGGTATATTATTAAGGGCTCGATCGCAATTTATCCGGTTAAGAATTAGGAAAAAGTTCGTTTCGGCGAACTGTGTACACTGAAAACAAAATTTCTCCGGATTACGACCATGCGTTGTTGTCGTTGTCGACCTTCGGATCAATTTTTCTGGAGAATCCATAACCAGCAACGCATATCCATGCTTTCTCATGCTAAACCAATTCAACATGATTTTAATCGCATTTTTAAGTGTCCGTCGCTTAAATTAAATAAAATAAACGTCAACATAGCCTTACAAAAAAATCATTTGTTAAGGCTATAAAGACGTGGCGGTGGATTCGGACCCGAACTCCTCGGCGCCCAACGATATTGCGGCAGCTGTCGAGGCGGCTGATATTGTAAGTTTTTTAATTGGTTATTTCTTTCGATTTGTGGTGAATTAAATAAGAAAAACCAAAATCAATAGCTACGTTTACTTATCACCTATCAAATACTTGAATTGTGCTTAATTTGAGTGCCTGTTACAGACAGGTTTGTTAATAGATCGAACGTTTCGAAGAATTTCAAAACTCCTCTTCTTGCCTTGAATTTAATAAACCGCTTGTCGTTCGAACCTCAACTCAGTTTTATCAAAATCATGAATTGAAACAGCCACGAATTAACATGCAAATCTTTCCTTTAATTTTCGCGTTTTTCAAACAATCTTTTAATGTAACGATGTTTCAAATAACTTCAAAGCGTCCATTCCAGATTTCATTTTAATATCTAGCTGGCCCTTGCAGTGTCAAATCAGTTGCAATAAGCCAGGACGAAATTAGCATGATCCGTATTTTTTCCGTTGAATTTCTATGTTTTAAAATCTTGAGTACCATTCTGTTTCACTCAACTTTTGAGTTTTTCAAATATTTTTGAAGTGCATCGAATGTTTCAAAGAAAGCCCAAAATTCTTATTTTTGACCAAATTTTAATCGGGCAATTGTTCTCGCAATATAAACTTTTATTAAATCCTTAGTTGATACTCTTTTTAAAGTGCAACGGCTATACAACGGCGGGAAAATGGTGTCTTCTTTTAACTTCATCGCCGCTTCTAAATGAAGGCTTTCAATGAAATAAATTTTTAAAGAATTGTAAAATTTCCCGTCTTGACTTAATGTCAATCCAGAAGAGTTTTAGATTAATTTCTCTAATTTTACACGAATTTAATTATCATAATTTCATATAACCAGATTTTTAAATATAAACCAGGGTTGAAAAGCCGCTACGCGGCTTTTCACCCCTGGCCTTTGCGCGGGGATCTTTAAAAGTTGGGCTTTGCATAATTAGGGTCAGAGCTGGAGCGAACCCTAAAAATAGCAAAAGCAACCGGCCGCGAGCGCGACAAAAGCCAAAATGAGGCTCCTAGCGCCTCGTATGCAAATTAGTCTATTTCCATATGTTTTTAAAACGTTAAAATAAGGTATAAAACGAAATTTTAGTAAAAATCTGATAAGCGTGCAGTAATCTACGCCCTCGACTACCCCTCACTACCTTATTTCTGGACCAAAAAATTCTTTCCCCTTCGAGTTATGGCTGGAACCCGGGTTTTTATGCAAAGTGTCTACACACACACAGACACTATTTTTTTATATATAGTAGGAATTGTGTAGGTTTAATAGCGAATTTAAAATATTTCTCCAGGCAGACGAGCCGCAACGCGACGATCCAAACCCCTGTAAGCCGGCGGTCAAATATGTGCTACTGCGAGAAGCGGGCAATGGCCGAATGGAGGAGGTCGAGCTCGAACAGGTATTAAAATAGCAGCGCGCTAATGCATTGTAATAAAACATATTCCGATCAAAGGCTGATTTTTTGAAACATTTTGTGTATTAATGTAAACATATTATATCGCGTAATTGGTTCCAAAAAAAATTTGGTAACCAGAAAAATTACTTACTTTCGTGATTTGCATAAAAAAATCCATTCTTGCAGGAAAATGCCTTCGTTTTATGATAGCACTGACTCATGGGCTGGTTATCCAAAAGTTATGCCAGCCCGTACCAAGAAGAATTAAATAAAAATGCTGAGAAAACCTCGAAACAATCGAACAAAAAGTCGGCTCAGCCCTGCATTGTAGGTTCGAGATCCCATCACAGTCGTATGATTTTTGAAACATCCTATTTTCCTAATTTTAGGGAAGCGTCGCCGAACTGGCCCCGGGCCATGAGGAAGCTAAAATGCACCCAGAGATGGGCATGGTCGGTTTTTTAACATAATACTATTATTTTTATCCAATATTTTATGAAAAGTCCAAATAGTATGGTATAGCGTAGAAATGACCTGTCATCAACACTCCCCGGGAAAGAGTGGGTTTCAAAGAGGTGGGATTTTAAAACATGAGTGAGGGCTCAAGTTTAAGTTTATAAATTTGTCGTTTGATAATTCGGGGTAGTGCATAAATAAACGATCAAGCTTTTAAGGGATTAAAATAGCGTCAAACCTTCCGGATACTTTAAATTGAAAGTGATTGGTAAAAGACATACTGCGAGTTTCAATTAATTAATCCCAGGCGCAAAACTTAATCTTTTTTTCTGAAACTTGGAATTTTTAAGAACTTTTTCTCTACCTGGAGCTAATTTTTGTAAAGTTTCGGTCAATGTCCGCTTGCTTAGCGTATAATTTTGGGTATTAGGAGCTTGGTTTATCGTTCTGATTACTGTCGAAAGCAATTATGGCTAAATTTATATAATTTTAATTCCAGGACCGCGACGCTCGGATGCAGGGGAAACGGCGTGGCGATGAGGATATTGGTTGGTGTTTCCAGTAGCTATACGCGCATTAATTTGAATATTTTTTAATCTCCAAACGTACTTTATATAGGGATGTTGAGGATACAATTGCAATAAATAAGAAAAATTGCTCATCATCTTAATTTGCAGATGAAACACCCATGCTCAAAGGGTCGAAACTGTTCACAAATGAGGGGAAATGCAACAGCAAACAGTTGGAGAAGTTGATTATGCAGGTAACGATAACAGCCGGACTAGACCCGTTTGAAACTCGTATTTCGCTGAACGATAAATTTCCGACCCGTTTACCCGGCCGGACTCGCGTCGATACATGTATCTATCGAAGGCTCTCGGAAAGACGTGTCCGGCAGATCTTCCCGATTTTCAAAATTCCGGAGTTTTTTGCTCGTTTTCGGCTTTTTTCACCCAAAGGCGATATGATTTTTGTGAAAAAGCCAATTTAACTGGTTCAAGCGCCAACCAAGCTGTGTTTTCCCAAATGGCTTTCAAAACCCGGTCGTAGGGCAAGGCTTAAAAATTTATAAATCGAGATTTTTTTATAAAGACACTTTGCGCCGAAAAGCATCAGAAAATCAGAAGAGAAAATCGCCATACTCAAAAATATTAGTGAATGTAAGAAAAAAATAATAAACTGTAAATATTAGTGAATGTAAAACTCTGGAATTTCCAAAATCGGTGATGCGTGCTGGGCTCGCCTGCTTTAGAGCGTTAGTTATTGTCAAACTCAAACTTAGTTCATAGATATTTTTTGTCTTTTTTAGTCATTAAAATTTCTATATGCTTTTACGTTTAGGGTAAAAATAAGTTTAGAAACGCCTACCCTATCTAAATTAGAAAAATTGATCCTAAAAAATGTCGTTACATGCCGTGTATCATGGTTTTATATGAAAAACTAATCACTTTTTCGAATATCACCCGACTACCGCTTGGGAAAAAATGTCACGGGGGCTCCCACGAAGAGATGAAACTCACTGTAACCCGCCTTTGGTCGAAGTGGAAATTCCGTACGTGAGATAGCACATCTTGTGCAGAATTTTTTGCTGATTCCGAATCCGTTTTCAAAAGTTGCGGAACCCCTCAGATTAAAAAGTCACAAGCGTTTTTAATACCCAAAATGCCACAAATCGCTTACTTTAAAACATTCTAAAAATTCCGTAAAATTTTACTGTACAATGCTCAAAATTTGCAAAAAAAAAGTTTTTTTGGCAGACCCTTGCCCAAGATGGTCAACTTTCGAAATTTTCGAAATTTCGAGCTACGGGTTTGTGAGATAGCCCATTCGAAAGAGCACGTTTTTTTACCCCGGAAAATGGCTTACTCTCCCCCCCCAACAATATTTTACGGAATTTTTAGAACGTTTTAAAGTAGCGATTTGTGGCATTTTGGGTATTAAAAACGCTTGTAGCTTTTTAATCTGAGGGGTTCCGCAACTTTTGAAAACGGATTCGGAATCAGCAAAAAATTCTGCACAAGAAGTGCTATCTCACGTACGGAATTTCCACTTCGACCAAAAGAGGGTTACAGTCAGAAATGTGATGAACCGCCTTATTAGTGTTTCAGCAGGCCTCACTATCCGTAAAATTGATGAAACACACAGAAACACAAAAAAATGCATTGACTTCCAAACCCCTTTAAATTCGCGTTTTGTAGAATATCGTCTCCAACGATGCGTTAGCGTCAAAACGGGCAATTCACGAAGCATCACTCGCTATGAAGCCAGCCGCGGGGGTTGATGTGATTTGTTCGGAAACAGGTATTATTAAAATGCTCCTAAGGGAGGCGTTATAAATTTAGCTATTTCATGGCCTGCGACGCGCCGAAAACCCTGGCTCTAAAATTCAAGCATTGGGATTTTTCTGCTAATGATTATGATGAAAACGTGGTAGTTTAGTGTTCTCCTGACCGAGAGGAAGATTTTGGTATAATTTACGTCACTGCAGCTAAAATGACAGTGAAAATACAAAATGTCTAAAATTGAGCTGGTTCACCAGCTCCAAATCTATGGCTAGCAGAGATACTTGGGGAATCCTGACCCAAAACTAGATCCTGGTGCGTTAGCGGGGGAGGGGAGTAGTGGTGGAAACCCTCAATGGCCCACCCCCGCTAATAAACCAGAACCCAAAAATATCGAAAATATTGCTTCCAGGCTTCACCTACCTCGTCTCCACCGTGGAGCACTGTGAAGCCCAAAAGGACAACGTCATCTGCTTCGTCTACAAAAGGCCGCTGTGACTTCGAGAAAAGTTATAACCCTAATAAGAACATTAATAATAATTATGACAAAAACGATAAAAATGAACAGATAAAATAAAACAACAAATAAAAACAAACAACAACAAATAACATATAAAAACGAATCAAAAAAAATTCTCTAGAAGATAGGCTATTAAAAATCGACTGCCCTATTAAAATAGAAAAGTTGGGCCTGGTGACAGATGACTTCCCGCGGGAACAAATATGACCTTAAAATCGCTATAACTTTTTAAATTGAGCTATTTAGCAAAAATTGAAAGCGGGTTCGGAATCAGCAAAAACATCTACACAAAATAGGCTGGGTCCCATAACGAAACGCCACCTTGTGAGCCGTCGGCGTCTGGCCATAGTCCGGCCTGTCGCTCCGTTATTGCACCATTTTGGCTGGATGATCGTATTGCGTATCAGCGCTGTCATAAGCCATCTGGCGATATGGATTTTTCGGCTCGGTTCTACCCCCAGGCCCCTCCAGATACGCAGATGGGCGTTTATCGCGTGATCGACGATTAATTTGGTCATTATCGTCCGCGAGGTCCAATCAGAATGCCTTCATCCATTTTTCTAAGGATCCCCTCTTGCATCTAACCCAACGGAAAACTCAAAATAATCCGAAACAATTTTCAGAGTAAAATCCGGGGCTGAATGGGGCGAAAAGAGCGTGTTCCTCGCCGTTCTCAACCCAAATCGCCGCTGCCATTCCTGTCATTTCGCTACGAATTACAACGAGCTGTCTACGGACATCTCGGCTTTTGGGAGAAACACCGTCTTCGAGCCACCACCAAACAGGTACGCATCGCAGATAGTGCTTTGCAAAAAAAGAAACATGATTAGGCAGTCAACTCGTCACCTCGATTTCCATTTTGTTTGAAGGGGATCTTGTTCAGATCGAGTCAAACAATTTATGACGTGAGTTAACTCGGTGCCGAGTTGTTGCTTAACCTCCGAATTGTTGGGCGGAAGTTGCGAAGATAATTTACAAGAGGAAAATTTAGGAAAATCCGGATTCAAAGTGGAAAACGCATGGATTTTCGTTCTTTCTCCTTCATTTCACTTGGCAAATTATCACCTTCGCAACTTCCGACAAACAGTTTCGAGTTAAAACCACTACCCGTCACCGAGATAACTCGCGTCAAAAATTGTTTGACTCGATCTGAACAAGATCCCCTTCAAACAAAATGGAAATCGAGTTGACGTCGACTGCCTAATTTGCTGGCCGCACAATTGTTTGCCGGTAACTGAGTAAAAAACTCACAAACAACCGCAGCTGCAAGCAGTTGCTTGCGCGGCATTTTCATGCAAAGAAATTTGCCTCCTAGCCAATTCCTATAACAACCCTTTGGTACAATACAATATGATAAGTTGCAGTTAGCGTCGTCCCAACTGGGTGGAGAACAGAAATACTGGCCAGCGCACAAATGTGTCGATGATATCGTCATTGTTGCACACCGCCAGGTATCGTCATGATATAAAGGGTGGGCCAAAAATATCAAAATATCGAAAATATCCTACAATATAAAAAAGTAGTGTCTCTGTGTGTGCATTTGCATGCAACTTCCGTCACCGTGTCCGGAGGATACCCTAAGAAGAGTTTTAGGCTGCGCATGATACGTCATTAGGTGCGTAATGGCCTCGAGATGAAGCATACCAGCTTTCTAAATTACGAAAACAGCCCCCCTCGTTATTCGCTGTGGTGCCGATAGTTATCAACCAAAATTTGTATGCTAAATGCATTTTTCGTGCTTCTGTGCTTCGTGCCTTCTCTGAGGATATTTTTCGACGCCTTATCGAATCGAACTTGCGAAATCCCACGGCAATTTAAAAGATTAAAAATAATGAGCAAGTTTTTTTTGGTAGATTTTTGATGGTCAGCATTAGCTTGAACTGGCGGTTTTCCCGTTGACAACAACCCCACGTTCGTCCGTTACAGATGATTGGCTTTTCGTGCCGGACGCACTGTGGAGAAGTGGAAGTTGAATGGAAGGCCGACAGTTCGACGCTACTTTTATTCTACAATACAATTCGAGGTGTTGGGTGGGGAGGAAAGAAAATACGATGGACATTCGATGAACAAAACGAAGATCCAAGGTTGGTTGAAGAGTCGATTTTTTTGAATGGGGGTAACGACAATCATAATCATAGGGCTCGACATGCTGCAACCAAATATTTGCTTCGATTCGATGGGAAATCAGCATCGGAGAACGCTTTGAAGTTGATGAATGAATTATGTTGTGGAGTGATATCGGTGGCTGTTGGATTGTACGTAGTGCCGGAGACGTTTGCTGGGGTAAGTTGATTCGATAGCGGGAGACGAAACGAGAGAGAGAGAGAAGGCCATAGAGAGCGAGAGAGACGTCAATTAACCAGTGCTAATCGTTTCAGGAGCCATCATTCCCACCAAAACGTCTCCGTCTTCTCGAAAACAACACCTATTGCTGCCTCATCAGAATGTGTCCTGTGGATGGAAAGATACAACTAGACTGGTTGAAAAGAAACCACTACTCCACCGAGGCGTTGGTTTGTGGCTTGGCTGGCTTTCCTATTGACGGCGGCGAACTTGCGGCGGCCAGCCGACCAAGTCGCGGCAGGGCCAGGCACGACATTTGTGGCCCGACCATTTGCGGCCCCGACCATTGCGGCCCAAAGTTGTAGTTAATCACACAATTGATTTAGCCGTCCGGAAGGCTAGTTTCCCGAACGGGTTTGATCGCTTATCCCATGGTCTTGACCTAAAAATAAGGCCTCGTGCCACCCGGGGCCCAGTCGCTTCGGATGGGTGCGAGCTCGTATAGGGTTTCGAAATCGGGGCGCCCGAGGCGCGCGTAGCGGCCAGGCGCCCCGATTTCCGCGATATTCCGGGATATTCCGCTCTCGTTGAGAAATATAGGATCTTATGTTGGTCAACACTTTAGCACGCAAGGTTACGGTAGATGCTAAACGTGGGGCAAAACCGAACCCAGACCACTCGGCCTGGGACAAGCGCCATAGACCACTCGGCTATAGGAGGGACGGGAAGGTGAGAGGGGCGAGGGGTTATGAAGGGTGTCTGCGGCCGGCCGCCAGAGTGCCAAATTCCCGGTTTAAAGGGATGCCGACGGCATAGTGAATCGGTTACGCGCGGAAAATAAAATGTCTCTGCGCCTCTCCCCTGGGCGCGCTCTCTCCCCTGTTGGCTACTTGCCAATTTGTTGATGAGGGGGGATCGACACATGCCGTCGGCAGCCCTTTAAATTCCAGGGTTTTAGAATAGAGTGGCGCTTATTCAAATCAGATTTGAATAAGATTCAAATTGTTCAAATCAAGCCGATTTGATTTGAATTGGAGCCGATCAAATCAAATCAAATCGATTTGATTTGAGTTCCACCAGTTCAAATCAAATCCAGCCGATTTGAATAATTTGAATAAGACCTCATAGAAATGAACCCAACGCAACTCGTAATTCGTGCACCGCTCTTTCCCTATAATCTCTTAGCATTGTTCCAGCGTCCCAGTTAACGATTCCTTATACATTTCCTATTTGTTTTTACCCTTTAGCTTTTCCAAAGAAAATCCATAGCGCAGGCTAAATCTGACAAATAAAACCGCCTGGCTCAATTTTATATAAAGGTCATCAAAACGCCCCATGAATTATTGTAATGGACACCTAAATGTGCAGAAATGGCGCTACCAAAAGCCCTCCGAACCGCCGATTTTCAACTTGCATCCCTGATAAGCCTGTTGTTCAAATCCCAAATCAAATCGATTTGATTTGAGTTGGCCAGCCCCCTAATTCAAATCAAATCGATTTGATTTGAAGTTGAGTTTTTCGCACTGAAATTTGCTAATTCAAATCAAATCAATTTGAAGCCGATTTGATTTGAATAAGCGCCACTCTATTTTAGAACGAGAGCGGAATTTACCTTTAAAGCGCACGTTCAGGGAGGGGCCGTGTACTCGTCCCAACGTGTACACCCTATGGACGTAGGGACCGCGCGCACGGCCTGCCCGTGCTGTGACAGGCCATTCCCCTCCTTTGCGGCGTGGGGCCCCCCTGCCCTTTGCCAGGTTGTAGTTGTGGCTGACTGGTATCCATCCGCGCCTCCCGGGCGAGGGGCCCGGGTTCGACCCCCGGCCGCGGCGAAAACCTTTGCTTTTTTCCAAAAAAACGTCCCTGAACGTGCCCTTTAATAGGACGGGCGCTAATGGTCGGCCCCCAAATGTCGGAGAGCCCGCAGCAGTGCTGGCTATCCCTCCGGCCGCCGGTCCTTCGCCGCTCTTTCTCCGACACACGCCTGCGAAATCGCGGCGAAATCCTGGCGTCGGGCGCCAAGGGCAAAATAGCGGCGGCCGGGCGACGAAAACCCGGTAGTTTTCCCTGTATGGCGGTCTGCGCCTCTGCGCTGGCCGCTCTCTCCCGACCTCTCTGTAATGGCTGGCTACTGGTGCTAACCCCTTTTGGTTTGAGTTACCCCCATACGACTCTTTTGGGGACCTTTTCCCGATTTAAACAAAAAACCAAGCATCGGACCGCCAAACTGAATACACCATCGGAACCGGCGACACTTTTTGCATACCAAAGCTTTTAAAATTAAAAAAAGGTGAAATTTCAAATTTTAACAGCCGGTTTGAATTGCATTTCAAGGGGGCAGGTCCGCGTTTGTTTGTATGTATGCCAGCAAAACCTTTGTAGTCGTCAAAAAGTGCCTTCCCATGGTCCGTTTTGGCTGAAATTTTCCACATATATCGACTTGATCTAAAGGAAGGTCAGGAAGCAGTGTTTTTAAAAATCGATTTTTAAAAAAAATATATTTAATTTTTTAAGTGAAAAAGCTGAACTGCGACCAAAACAGGGGGTATTGATGTCGGTTTGGGCTGAAATTTCGCTAAAATACGCATTAGACCTTGCCAAATAAGTAAAGTTATAGATGGAACCTGATCCATACGGGGCAACCTTATCCCTTTGTGACCTGGATCCTTTAGTTCGCCATCCGTGGGTACGA